AAGAGATGTATTTATTTTGAAATGCCAAAAAAGAAAGCATCTAGTCCCTCTAGAGCTGGGGTAGGCAACCTTCGCTCTTTTATGACTTGTGGACTTCAACTCCCAGAATTCCTGAGCCAGCATGGGGGAACTATGGCCCCTTCATGACTTGTGGACTTCAACTCCCAGAATTCCTGAGCCAGCATGGCTCAGCTTGGAAACCTCTCCCTTTCCCCTCAGCGTGGCTGGCCCAGGAATTCTGGGAGTTGAAGTCCACGAGTCATAAAAGAGCCAAGGACCAGGTTGCCTACCTCTGGCCTAGGCCTAGGCCACTTTATGATTCGTGGACTTCAACTCCCAGAATTCCTGAGCCAGCTTGGCTCAGCATGGAAACCTCTCCCTTTCCCCTCAGCATGGCTGGCTCAGGAATTCTGGGAGTTGAAGTCCACCAGTCATAAAAGAGCCAAGCTTGCCTACCCCTGCTCTAAACTAATAAAGTCTACATTAATTAACATGAATTATGCTTTCATATGTTCCTCTAGGTCAGGGGTAGGCAACCTTGGCTCTTTTAGGACTCGTGGACTTCAACTCCCAGAATTCCTGAGCCCGCATGGAAACCTCTTCCTTTCTCCTCAGCATGGCTGGCTCAGGAATTCTGGGAGTTGAAGTCCACGAGTCATAAAAGGGCCAAGGTTGCCTACCCCTGCTCTAGACCAATGTTAATATCTCAGGCGATGAATAATGGGTTTTGACAACAAGGCTGTATTCAAATGGATTGAAAAATTCATAGTTTTCTCCTTTCCAATAAGATCTCACTTCAAAGAGGATCCAATAATATTTGGAGTCAGAATACAGCTGGAAGGGACCTGGGAGGTCTTCTAGTCCAACCCCCTGCTCAAGCAGGAGACCCTGTACCATTTCAGATAGGTGGCTGTCCAGCGTCTTCTTAAAAACCTCCAGTGATGGATCACCCACAACTTCTGGAGGCAAGCTGCTCCATTGGTTAATTGTCCTCACTGTTAGGAAGTTTCTTCTTAATTTTAGGTTGCTTCTCTCCTTGTTTAGTTTCCATCCATTGTTTCTTGTCTTTCCTTCTGGTGCTTTGGAAAATAAGTTGACTCTGCTCTTCTTTATGGCAGCCCCTCAGATACTAGAAGATGCTATCATGTCCCCCCTAGTCTAGACTAGCCATACCCAGTTCCTGCAACCGTTCCTTATATGTTTTAATCTCTAGGCCTTTAATCATTTTAGTTGCTGTTCTCTGCACTTTTTTTCCAAAAGTCTCAACATCTTTTTTGTAACGTGGTGACCAAAACTGGATGCAGTATTACTAGGGTTTTATAAAGAATTTTGCAAGTCTCCCTGGTTTTCTAAAACCGTGATCTCAAAAAAAAAAATTCTATGTATGGCCTAAGATGGGAATGAAAACGAAAGACTGGTTTAAAATTGATCAGATGTAATCTTGAGTTCTTAGGCTGGATCCTGATAGAATCCAGCATGCAAGATATGTCCTTTTTGTAAACCAATCTGATTTTTCTTTATTCTTTAGCATAAGAAGACCTAACCCAGCAGAATTTAGCTGATGTATACAAATTTACAGTTCTCAGTTTTAGGTTGGGAAGACAACAGATCCAGTCACAATTGCCGTCCCTAATTTTGCAGTCTGTAGTTTATGAAATTGCTTTTAGTTTTTACTGAGATTAATAAATAGGATGGGTGTCTGAAGGCATAAAATATGGAATTGAATACAGGTAGATCCACAGAGCCTCAAATGTTATCTTCACACCAGCAGAGGGCACTCTGGTCCACAGAAAAGTTTTTGGCAGCAAAAAAATAAATAAATAAAATCTTGAAAATTGAAGATGATTTGAAAATCTAATTAATCCCACAGTTCCAAAATGATTAAGTACATTGGTCTCTCTCTCTCTCTCTCTCTCTCTCTCTCTCTCTCTCTCTCTCTCTCTCTCTCTCTCTGTGTGATAGATATTTCTATCTATTTCTATCTAATCTATCAATATCTATCTATCTATCTATCTCTATACATCTCTGTGTGTGTCTCTCTCTCTCTGTTTGTGTGATAGGTATTTCTATCTATCTATCTATCTATCTATCTATCTATCTATCTATCTATCTATCTATCTATCTATCTATCTATCTATCTATCTATCTATCTATCTATCTACCTACCTACCTACCTACTTACCTATCTCTATACATCTCTCTCTGTGTGTGTGTGTGTGATAAGTATTTCTATCTATTTCTATCTAATCGATCAATATATATCTATCTATCTATCTTTCTATCTCTCTATCTATCTATCTATCTATCTATCTCTATACATCTCTCTGTGTGTGTCTCTCTGTGTGTGTGATAGGTATTTCTATCTATGTAATCTATCAATCTCTATCTATCTATCTATCTATCTATCTTCTATCTATCTATCTATCTATCTATCTACCTACCTACCTACCTACCTACCTACCTACCTACCTACCTACCTACCTCTATACATATCTCTCTCTCTCTGTGTGTGTGTGTGTGTGTGTGTGTGATAGGTATTATCAAGGGAATAGCAACAACAATCACCATCACCTATCACTGGGAATCACAGAGTTGGAAGGAACCTTGGAGGTCATCTAGTCCAACCCCCTGCTCAGGCAGGAAACCCTATACCACTCCAGACAAACGGCTGTCCAGTCTCTTCTTAAAAACTTCCAGTGTTGGAGCACCCACAACTTCTGGAGGCAGGTTGTTCCACTTGGAAAGGTTTTTTTTTTATGTTGTTTCACCATTCTTGTTTGTCTATATAGCATCCTTTTAAGTTTCCTCTCTTAATCTTCTGTGTAATAGGCACACCACGGTGGCCTAGTTGTGTATTGTATCATACTCTTGCGTGCCATGTGGAATTGCAAGCGTGCAACCAAAT